GTCTTGGCTCCCAGCCCCCCCTGCTCTAACCACTAGACCCCGGGAGAGAACCGATTTCCCTCCTTCCACCCCCACAAAACCCCAGGCTCCCCCAGTCTCTCCTCCTCCAGCCTGGGGGTTCTGTGGGTGTCCCCCCCCCCATGGCAGGGGCTTTGGGGGCACCACCTTCTCCCATAACAGGCTCCCTGGGGGGGTTGGGGCTGGGATATTGGGCTAGTTGAGGCCACTGGTCCAGCCTGTCTGTTGTTCTGCGGCTAGAACCACTCCCCCCCCCCATTTTTTAATCGAAAAGCCCTTTTTTGACAACAAAAGTTTTCCAGACAAACGTGTTGCTTTTTTTTTGCCATTTTTTGTTGATTGGTGGGGGAGGGGGGGAATTGAATTTTTAAAAAGCAGATTTGATCTGAGTTTTTTTAATGGATCGTTTGATTTATTGTGCGTGTGTTTCAGGAATAAAGACTTTACATTGAGAGGGAGATTTTGCACTTTTTAAAGTAATTAAAACAACACCTATCAAAATGCATTTAGAAACCATACACAAAAGGCAAACCCGGCCCAGAAATGCGAGCTTGGCAGAATTCAGATTTTATTTTGTTCAACGGGCAACATCGCCATTTATTTTTAAGGTTTCAGAAGGGTAGCCGTGTTAGTCTGTATCGGCAAAAAGAACCAGCCGATGAAGTGGGTTTTAGCCCACGAAAGCTTATGCCCGAATAAATTTGTTAGTCTCTCAGGTGCCACAAGTACTCATTCTATTTATTTTTATTTATTTCAATTTTCACGGCGGTGGGGAATGATGGGGGAAGGTCTCTGGCACAGGGAGGGCCAGACAATAATTATTTAACGGCAGTAGCCGCTGAGATGCAAAAAAGTTAAAGTGTTATAACCATTAAAACGCAAATTGTCAACATCACATGTCCAAATAGACAAAGCAAAGAGCCTTAAGCCAAACTCTAAAAAATTTTCAAGCAGCATTTTTCCTACTTTGCCTGGCTGCAAATTTAGATTTATTATCAATGGAAGTGTTTTTTCTGTGTGTGCGCAGTGAAATTGACATTTACTGACATTGATCTATAAAAAACCTAAACCTTCCAAGCCTACATAAGAGTATGAGAAGAACTTTTAAATACCTAGCTATCCATCCCCATCCACCCCCTCTAGCTAGCTAGCTTTTTAGATGACAAATCTGAGGAACTGTCCCAGATTGATGTATCATTAGAGGTGGTTCTGGAATAAATTGATAAATTAAACAGCAATAAGTCACCTGACCCAGCTGGTATTCACCCAAGAGTTCTAAAGGAACGCAAATAGGAAATTGCAGACCCACTAACTGAGGTACGTAATCTGTCACTTAAATCAGCATTTGTACCAGATGACTGGAGGATAGCTAATTTGACACCGAAAAGGCTCCAGAGGTGATCTTGGCAAACACAGGCTGGTAAGCCTAACTTCAGTGCCAGGCAAATTAGCTGAAACTACAATAAAGAACAAAATGGCAAATGAAATTTAATGTGGATAAACGTAAAGTAATGCACATTGGAAAAAATAACCCCAACTATACATACAATATGATGGTGGCTAATTTAGCTACAAGTCAGGAAAAAGATCTTGGAGTCATCGTGGATAGTTCTCTGAAGATGTCCGCGCAGTGTGCAGAGGCGGTCAAAAAAGCAAACAGGATGTTAGGGATCATTCAAAAAGGGGATAGAGAATAAGACTGAGAATATATTATTGCCCTTATATAAATCAATGGTACGCCCACATCTCAAATACTGCGTACAGATGTGGTCTCCTCATCTAAAAAAAGATATACTGGCACTGGAAAAGGTTCAGAAAAGGGCAACTAAAATGGTTAAGGGTTTGGAACGGGTCCCATATGAGGAGAGATTAAAGAGGCTAGGACTCTTCAGCTTGGAAAAGAGGAGACTAAGGGGGGATATGATAGAGGTCTATAAAATCATGA